AAGCATATACCGCGCTAAGCCGTCGAAAACACCTTAGGTTTGGATTGAAAACGGAATTTCTAGTTTAAGTTATCCGTCAAGTAAAAAACAAATAAAGATATCAAAAAACGCCATAGTTAAGGGGATGTGAGCGTCACTCGCTAGTCGCGGCTGGTGTGGCCAAATAGGTGCTGCAAGCAGATAAAGCACGGACACGTACGGAAAATTCGCACTAGGACCCTATTCACTCGGCGTGACAGCTTTGCTGCGCACCGACTCTCTCTTCGTCCGCGTTTCTCAAAACGACTAGCTTTCTCTGGGTGCCTATCAGCTAGCTAAGAAATAGTGGGCGCTATTTTGGACTGGGTTGTCGCTCCGCACCCCATACGTTCTTCCTTATTCCAAGCGAGAGGCGAACTTTCGTTGGGGATTTCTGACGAGAGATCTGAATATCGATGCAAGCTTTCTGTAGAAGAAATAGCAAGCAGAGTAGAGTCACTTGAACGAATTCGCGCATAATGCTCTCACAACTTTTCGGCACAGAAACGGTAGGAGGCTGCTCGTAGCGTCCCCACCACCTTTCCACACGGCTTCGCTTGTTACTAGTGATCGCAAAAGTGCTTTGAGAGGAACTCTGCCGTATAGTGTAATTCGCTGCGGACGGTTGGGCGTGTCAGGCGAGATGAGTTTGGCGCAGTGTCGAACCCGTTCTTCAACAAGAAGGCAGAGAACGGCTTTGACGGCGTGACACCCTCATACTGCCTGACACGCCCAACCGTCCGCAGCGAACTAGAGTATAAATAAGACGAGTGCGAGTTGTACAGTAGAATTTTTGTGCAGTAAAATTAGTTGTAATTGTTCAGGTGCAGTTTTCCAATCGTGGTTATTACATGTGCAGCGGTGGAGAAGACAATACTGCCATGTTGTGGTGCACGGAGCGAATGTATCCGTTGAGGGTTTTCCCAGATTGCTATGGATCAGTGAACTGCGTTGATTTCCATCCCAACTGTAACTATGTTGTAGGAGGTAACCATCTCTTCAAGATACTCTGTCTAGAAACCCACATGACTTTTCAGGTAGTTGCGATCGTTATGTTAGAGTGTGGGATGTATTGACGGGTACTTGTGTCCGAACATTTTCTGGTCATTCAGCTGCTGTAACTGCTGTCAAAGTGAGTCGGACTCATCAGCATATTCAACGGCTTTCATTTATTAGTAATGTGAGTTTAAGGTCTCACCTTGTGGTCGATATATCATTTCGACTGGTGCTGATGGTGCTGTTTGTGTGTGGGACGTTGCTTATCAGCGCTTAGCAGGCATGGAAACCAGAGACTTCAAAGGGTCTATGGTGAGTTTTGCTGAAATCAAAGAACCATTTCCAGTAACCATTGGGTTTTCTTCTAGGGAATTTCCTTCAGTAGTGAATGGCTTTCAATTTTTGAACAGTCGTACTTTAGGGCTCCATTTGTTTCTCTCGTGATGGTGGTTCTTTTGCTGTTTCGCAAGGTGGAGAATCGTTATCCGTGTACTCGTTGGACAACATGATCGCTGCGACCAGCAGTGTTTCGAGCAACAATGAGCTTTGTTTCGATCCGAAGTTTGTTTTGAATCATTACTTTATTGCCCTTTTGTTGGCGTTCCATCCCGGCTTGCCACATTTTTCAGCGCTTGAACCCTTTATTTACTCGTCAGCGGGTAATCTCGTTGCACTCTCGGTTCGAATTACTGAAAGGGGAACACGTCCTGTTGCTTAG